CCCCAAAACCCCAAAACCCCACTAAGCAGATTGCCTAAAATATGATTAATATGATTTAAAGATGTATTAATTTTGTTCTAATGGAACCTTAAATAATTTAACCTGATAATTTATGTATATTTTGAATTTACAATCAAATATTAGCTGAAGTGTTAAGCTGTTCAAAAGTCTCTGAGTCTTCTTCTTCACTAAAAAGTGAATTGTAGCCATCGATTTCTTGCCCATAATCTTCCAATTCAGTTAGGAATGGATCTATGATAGAATAAATTGTCATTCCTCTCCTATAAGCTTGCTTACTAGTAACCTATTTCGTGAATGTTGACAATCTATTTGTGAATGAATGACCACCAGTATCATCTGAAACGTTTTCGCTATCTTTACATTCGACCATCGTAAAAGTATTCTTTATTGTATAGCTTTATTACCCTTTATTATCATCATTATTATTATTAGAGCCTCTTGTTATTGAACGCATCAACTTGGTCATTGATGACATTCTTCTTACTAAAATACCATGAGCAATATTTTCCGTTGCAGCTTTTACTGTGAATAAGGCTTAACCGAATTTGCTATTCTAGACTTAAACACTTGTGAATTCCTCAATAAGCTTTAATTATCCTGGCAAATCTTTCATCTGGCTTTTTATTATTGAGTAGGTTACTATTGATACCAACTGATCTGCATCTATCATTAGATTATCCTGGTTGAGATTCAAACCTTTCCAGAATTCATCAATACACTCAGAAATGCAATGTTTGGCTTCATCAATAACTTTTATTTTTCTTAAAGGATTTTCAAAATCCTTAATAGACCTCAATTTATCTATAACTTTACTATAAGGACTAACTCTTAATCTTCTCTCTATTTCCTCAACATCAGGTATGGATCTCTCTCCAATTATTTATAAAGTTTCAACTTCTTTTGTCAAGTCCATTAGTAGAGTTACAGTATCTTATCTATCCCGATTGTTTTTAAATTTGAATTTTTATGAAATATTATTATTTCTATCATTTTAGTTATTATGATTGGAATCTCCTGATGTCTTAGATCTTGTAGATTAAATTTCATTAAACAAAGGTTTATTGCAAAAATAATCTTCGTCATTAATGTTACAATCATTCTCATCGTTAAGGTCATCGAACTCGTTATTTATAGCAAATTTTTGGTTTTTAATAGTCCTTTTCACCAATAGTTCTCTTTAAATTTCTTTAATTTAACTTTATTCATTCAACAGGAAATATTTGCAAATGTCTAAATCTTATGTCGTCATCTACTATTTATTAAGTCTTCTAAGTTGAGCTCGAAATCTCTTTTCTAGAGTCATTGTTTCATACCGACACATTGCAAGAGCAATTTTGTAAACATTACCTGACAATATCTTCTTAGTTACGAAGGCCATAATTTTTTCTTGAAGTGGTTCCTTGACCTACTAGTCTTAATTAATAGCTGCCATATAAAATCTCAAAACTGCAAAAAGTTGAATAGCAATATATTTTTTGACATCCCCAAGTATCTTATCAGAGAGATTGATGTCTAGTTGCTCTTTTTGTGAATCCGAAGAAAGCTGATCCCACTAATCTTTCCTAAGACGAACTGTTGCTTACTCAATTTTCTATGATAAATCTTAAATAGTTGATATCTTTTCGCCTGTTTTCTTTTTGAGAACATACTTGCGATATTAGCGGGTATAGAACTTGTGGAATTATAGGTTTAAAACTCTAAAGAAATGACCCTCAGAGTTGATTTGCATAGTGATCTCTTTAAAGAGGCGTTTATGATATTTATGATCCAACACAGGTGTTTAAGTTTTTTATATGATATTGACTGATTATCTGAGCTCTTCCGAGGCTTAATCTTTCATCATCTACTAATATATTGATCTGATCTTCATTTGATATTTGCTTTGGTGATTCATGTTTAAGGAATCGTATAGCTATCTATATAAAGAATAAATGAATAATCTGATAATGGCTAAAGATTTTAAGTTAATTATAGCATTATAGTATGCTTACTCTTGAAGAATAACAGTCCATTTAGAGTCTTTACTCATGGAATTAAGTTACTGCTCTATAAAGTAGAACCATTCCTTTGATTGAACCTTATTAAGCTTGAAATTAGTAGGATTTTAAGACCCCATCACAGTGGTATTTGAGTTTTTTGACATGCAAAACATGTTTATTGATTTAGATCTTTATCTCACTTAGATTTAATCTTGAGATTGTTACCCACCCATCGTAATTAAATTATCAATATATATTATATTTAATAGTCTCAATTATAGTCACAGTTTAAATATCATGGGGTTTTGGGGTTTTGGGGTTTTGGGG